TGGCCAAAATCGGTGAGTGCGTGTGTGCGTGCGCTAGGGCCGGCGACCGCCAGCGGACCTGCCCCCAGCCTCTAGTCCCTAGATCCGGGCAGTCTTTTTGCAGAGTGCTCTGACTTAGGTGCGGATTCCACAAATCCGGGCTCTTACACTGTTCCTGCGCCGCCTACTGTGGATCTCCCTTCTCCCCTTCTCGTATGGAAGCCCTGAAGATTTGCCTTCTCGAAGCGCTGCCCCAGCTCTGCCAGACCCATCCCTAGACTCCTTTGCCCCCTTCTCTCCCCTCTTCTCCTTGCAGTAAGCCCTTTGATCTAGCCTCTCCTCCACCATTCCCCAGGCTCCTAAAAGCCTCTGTCAGCAGTGAAGACGTGTGCAGCCATTGAGGGCATGGTGTTCTCTGGTAAACCCAGGCATCCTGGTCCTGAGGAAGTAGCCTTTCTTGGAGACCATGTCCAAGTGTCCGTTCTCTTGGGATACTGAACTACCACTTTTCCTCTAAAGTTCCCCTCTGCCTCTCTAAACATGTCCTCTTCTTGTATATAGCTGTGCCCCCCACCCCAATTCAGGTCTACCTCCTTCCCATTTCAAGGTATAAGAAACTTCCATTTATTGGGGCCTTAATATGTGCTGTCTGCACTAGATGCTTTCGTACATCCAACCTCCTTTAATCTACACAATATTGAAGGTTGTGCTTCAGACTCCTTTCCTTGAATAGAATTGCTTTTCCTTGCCTCTGCCCCTTCTTCCCCATTTCTGAGCAGCCAGTGGTCCCTCCTCCCACCAGAGACCCTCCTCCCTCTCCCTGTTGTGCAGGCTCTGCTGTGGGGGTGACTAATTATAGCTGAGCATTGCCACTCACTCTCCATCTATGCTGGCACAGCCTGTACTCATCTCACCAATACAGTCTTCATGTAGGAATCACTTAGCCTAGAATTTGCCCCCCACTTCTTCCAGCGACACAGCTGGGGGGAGGGGGTGTTGGGAAGGAAGAGGAACTCTCCATTCTGCTGTGGCAGCCCATTAAAAATGGAAAATGGGGCTTGAAATGTTTTCAGGAAGCCTGGTTCTGTCAGAGAACAGGCTTTTGTGAAGGGTTTGGATTGCAGTGTTGGGGCTGATGCATGCTCTGGTGATAAGGATGGAAAAGGGTCCCTAAAGGTGAGGAGAGGGGGACGATGAGTGTGGGGAGAGCTATGACTGAGCTCATCTTAGGGCCTGATAGCAATAAGAGCAAAGTGAGAGGAACCTCAGATTTGGGAGCTAAGAATTGGGTTTGCTGAGAAGTCTGTGAGTTGGAGAGTTCCTGTCTTGTTTAGGCTTTAAAGCAATGATTTGTAGTTTCCCCTATAAATCATAGTGCTTTTTCTAACTTGGATGACAGCTCCTATGGATGTAGAAGAGTCTTTTCTTATCAAAAAAAAAAATCATTGGGATGGGGGAGAAGATATGCAGAGTGTTCAGAGATACTTTCCCCCAGCATCACTGCTAGATTTTTTTTTCTTCTTTTATTCAACAAATATTTATGTAGATCCCACCGTGTGCAGATCCCACCATGTGCCAGGCATTTGGTACAGCTTCCAAAGGGCACCTTCTTGGCACTGGGTCTCTCACAGCCTAACACTGAGGCTTCCCCCACTACCCACTACTCCAAGGATTGTTTGGGGAGAGGTGCTCACTCTGGTCTTAGGGCCTCAGGGAAAGCTAAGAGTTTATGTTAGGGGGCAAAGGTAGGAGTGGCAATAGTGCTAGAAAACCATTTCATATCTCCTTTTCTAGGCACAGATCTGTTATTATTTTCCCCCAGAGTCATACTGAATTAACATTTGCTGAGATCCTACTATGTGTGTGACATTCTGCTAGGCACATTCACACTACATCATTTTATTCTCACCCTGGTGAGGGGTATTTTTCCCATAATACAGGAGAAGAAATTGAAGTTCAGGTACATTAAATAATTTGCCTGAGATCACACAATTAGGAAGCAAAGGAGCCAGAAGGAGAACCGGAATCTTCTGACTGTTAAACCTGATGCTTTTTAAACTACTGTATCCTTAGTGAGCCAATATAATGAAAAGCACACTGGGCTATGACGTCTACAGTGCTCCTATAATATACATTATGGTCTAGCTAGGGAGGTAGGACACAATAATATAATAATAGCTAACATTTATTGACTACTTACTATAAAGCACTGGGCTAAGTGCTTCTGAGTAGATTGTCCTTCTTAAACTTCACAACAATCCTATGAGATTACTGTTTTTATCCCCATTTTACTGATGTGAAAACTGAAAGTCAAAGAGGTGAAGTTATTTGCTCCAAGGTCACAGAACTAGTAAATGGAGGAGATGGGCTTTGAACCTAGGCAGCCTGATTCCAGAAGCTCTGATTTTTATAGCTATGTTATGCATAAAAACATACCAGGCACTTGCTGAGGTTAAAATAATGGCTGTGGATAAGGGAGATCAGAGAAAGGTGAGGTCTCTTGAGGATGAGTGTAGAAGGCATTTGCGGAAGTGGAAAAAATAAGCAAAGGCCTAGATTGCCATGGCAGAACACTAAGAAACAGACAACCTTGGCTGCAGTGGAGGGTTTGTAGTGCTGGAGGTTGGAGATTCTAGCGTCCTGCAGGGGTCCACACCTTGAATAACCTTCTAAGACTGGGAGGTATTAGGCCAGTGTGTGTGTGTGTGTATGTGTGTGTGTGTGTGTCTGTGTGTGTGTCCCCCCGTGTCTGTCCTATAAGCTGATACCTCCTGCCCTCTTGCATTGTAGTGTTTCACTTGTCTCGGAAGGTGACGTCTCTGGTCCCTGAGAGCTGCCTGCTGATTTTGCTCGGACTGGTGCTTGGGGGCATTGTTTTGGCTGTGGCCAAGAAAGCTGAGTACCAGCTGGAGCCAGGCACCTTCTTCCTCTTCTTGCTGCCTCCTATCGTGCTCGACTCAGGCTATTTCATGCCTAGCCGGCTGTTCTTTGACAACCTGGGCGCCATCCTCACCTATGCTGTGGTGGGCACACTCTGGAATACCTTCACAACAGGCACTGCCCTCTGGGGCCTGCAGCAGGCTGGACTTGTGGGTGAGTGACCCTAAGACCTGGACTGGCAGAGGGAGGCTTTGTCAGACTCATCACTCAGCTCCCTTATCCAGCTCTGAAGAGCCCGTGTTGACAAGAGCCATGCCCTGAGAGCTCCATCTCAGGTCCCTCCCACCTGGAGTGCGAGGCATTGCTCCAGATGGGCCTTCAGCCTTCATTTAGGTTCTTGCTAGTTGAGTTTGGGCTTCTGCAGATGACAGCTGAATAGGCCTGGCTCCCAGCTGTGTGTGGGCTGCCAAGGCTGGGAGGCCTGCATTACTATTCAGTTGCCTCCTGCCCTCTACTACCACACTGCCACTTGCCAGTCTGGCTCCCCTGAGGCACAGCTCATCATTTCTGTGAGGGCTCTGCCCAGGCCATGTCAAGATGGTTTTCTGTTTTTATTATTATTTTTAATAAATACATATTATACATCCACAGGATGCAAGATACTACATTGGGTGTTCTCTCTTTACTCAACCCATTGACTCTTCATAGCAACCCTGTTAGGGTATAATTTGTCCCATTTAATGAATGAGGAAATAGAAGCTCTTAAACTCATTTGACATCAGGTTCAAGGTTAGCAGGAGAGGTCTGTTTTACTGAGGCTCTTTGCTTTCAGGCTGCCCTGTTCTGCTCCCTTCTTCCTCATTTCCTAGCCCCAAGATCTATTCAACCCTGAATGCTGATAATTTAGACTTTTTCCCAAGGTGCAAGGGGAGGTCTGCAACTTCCACTTGGGGACTCTAACCTGGTTTTCCTAATGTGTGAGCGAACTCTTTGGGGCAGAAAGGGAAGGGGGGACATCAGACCATAATAATAGTCTAATAATAGGTAATATCTATTCAGTGCTTACTATGTGTTAGGCACTGGCTAAATAAAGAACTTTCTGAGGTAGACACTGTTATTATCCCCAGTATATACATGAGGAAACTGAGGTTCACAGAGATTACATGACATGTTCAAGTCCCAACTGTAGTGGGTGCTTTTCATACTATATTCAGCCCTCATAGGTGGAGAGCCCCCCCCCCTCCTGCTGAGACTTGTGTGTCACATCCCTTAGGCTGAGAACCACAGGTGTGGGAGAAAGCACTTGCTTTTTTTCTCCTCCAAAAAGCAAGTCAACAGCCAATTTCCACCTGCTGGTGGTTATTATTACTGTTGCTGCAGTTTTTATTGTCAGTGCCACCTTAGTTTTCCAGGTTTCATGGCTTTCTTAGCCATCTCCTGGATTAATTTTTGCAGCAATCTTGTGAGGTAGGCAGATGAGGAGGCCTATGAGAAGTCATGCGGCAATGACAGCACCAACACCACAGAGCTAGTAAGTGGCAAAGCCAGGCCTTAGGCTCAAGTCTCCTGACCTGCAGGCTGATGCTCTCTTCACCTTCCCAAGTCCTCTCTGAGTATCCTTGATTTAACAGTGTGGGTGGAGTCTGGGCTTGTCACAGAAAATGCTGTAGGTGACTCAGTACCTCACCATTTGCTGTCCCCAATCTGTCCCTCAAAAGCCCCTAGAGTGCAGGCTGGCTTGCTGGATTTCCTGCTGTTCGGGAGCCTCATCTCAGCAGTGGACCCCGTGGCGGTGCTGGCTGTCTTCGAGGAGGTGCATGTCAATGAGACTCTCTTTATCATCGTCTTTGGCGAGTCTCTGCTTAATGATGCGGTCACCGTGGTGAGTGTTCAGCTGGCTGCCATTCCCTGACCCCAGGCCGCTGTGCTCTGACCAGTTGGGTATCTGAGCAGGCTCAGCCCCTTCCCTGGGCCCTCTGGGGAAGAAATATGGTCTCCACTTTCCCCCTCTCCCAGCAGTCCCCATTGCTGCCTTTCCCCCTCCCCCTTACTCCTGATGCTCCTCTTCTCACTCAGGTGCTGTACAAGGTCTGCAACTCCTTCGTGGAGATGGGCTCTGCCAACGTGCAGGCCACTGACTACCTGAAGGGAGTCGGTCAGTATCTCCCCTCTTCCGGAGGGCACTGGAGGTCTGCCTCCCCTGGGTTGCTGAGCCCCTGCCCCCACCATGTCAAGACAGAGGACGCTGCTTGGGGTTGCCTCATTCCCTTCCCTTCCCTATGGAGAAATAGGGCCCTGAGAACCTGAGAAAGAGGGCTTTCCCGGGATCCTGACCCCTGGGGAGCGCAGTGGGCATCATCCTCCACTCTCTGCCAGGCAGCAGTCTTGTCAGGCCGGATAGGGTCTGGCTCAAGGGTCATGCTGACAACCCACTCCTCCCCCAGCCTCCTTGTTTGTGGTCAGTCTGGGCGGGGCAGCCGTGGGCTTAGTCTTTGCCTTCCTCCTGGCCCTGACCACACGCTTCACCAAGCGGGTCCGCATCATCGAGCCGCTGCTGGTCTTCCTCCTCGCCTACGCAGCCTACCTCACTGCTGAAATGGCCTCGCTCTCCGCCATTCTTGCGTGAGTCCTGGGCCCCTTGCAGACAGGCAGCTGGGAGGGGGCACTGGAGATGGTTGCCCCTCACATGGACCAAGCAGGACCCTGAGGAGTTCATAGGTTTCCCTGAACCTTTGTGGCAGTGGAAGCTTCAAACTTCCCTGGGGAGAAACTAAACCTCAGGTAACTTTCTAGGGCCTGCCTCTAGACCTGTCCTGGGCACCCCAGAACCCAATCTTCCTCTGTCTGAAATGCTTTCTGGGTTTGGGCTGAGCTAGAAGTGGACTTCAAGGCCTGATGTCACTGGCTCTGGTGGTCACAGAACTCCAAAAGGTGCCTCAGACAGTGTGCTAGTCAGAGTATGTTTCTCCCGTCTTCCCCTCCAGGAGGCACCGAGTGGGAAGCCTGGAGATTCGGACTCTTTTATCCCAGGACCACTACTTCCTATCCTTGGACAGTCTCCATGCCTCCCTGGGCTTCAGCTCTGAGAATGTGACATCCTGTGATGGGCAACACCCTCTCCTGTGCATGCTCAAATCCCAGAGGCTGTGCTTCCTGTGACCCTCCTCACCTGCCCTGACTCTCCATTCCTCTCCCAGGGTGACTGTGTGTGGCCTGGGCTGTAAGAAGTATGTGGAAGCCAACATCTCCCATAAGTCCCGCACTGCTGTCAAGTACACAATGAAGACCCTAGCCAGCTGTGCTGAGACCATCATTTTCATGCTGCTTGGCATCTCAGCCGTGGACTCTTCTAAGTGGGCCTGGGACTCTGGGCTGGTGCTGGGCACCCTCTTCTTCATCCTGTTCTTCCGAGCCCTGGGTATTGCTGGCATGTTCTGCTTTCTCAGCCTCCTTCCTGCCCACCCTCCCAGCTCACCTCCCAATCTGAGTCCCCATCCTTATCAATTCCTAAGCCTCCCCTTGTTGCTCACCCCTCCCAGCCCCATCAGACTTCAGCCCAGATACTTGGTGCTGCCCACTCCCAGTGCCCTCTGCTCCCAAAGCCCTGCTCCCACTGGCCTCCTTCCTGCTGTAGGCGTAGTCATGCAGACGTGGGTGCTGAATCAGTTCCGGCTGGTCCCTTTGGACAAGATTGACCAGGTGGTGATGTCCTATGGGGGCCTGCGGGGGGCTGTGGCCTTCGCTCTCGTCATCCTCCTGGACAGGACCAAAGTCCCTGCCAAGGACTATTTTGTGGCCACCACTATTGTGGTGGTCTTCTTCACAGTCATCGTGCAGGTGGGAGCACCCACAAGGCTGGATGGGGAGAGGGTCTGGCAGGCCCTGGGGGAGGCTTGGCGCCTCTGGGAGAGGGGCTCCTCTTCCTATCGGGAGATGCAGAGGCCTGACTTCCTGGACCTTGAGTGCAGTGAGGTGGGGAAAGACAAGCTGAAGCCTAATTATGGGGAGAAGAAAGGCGGCAGGGAACTGGACAGGAGAGGGCTCACTGGTTGCCTGTCTGTAGGGCCTGACCATCAAGCCACTGGTCAAGTGGTTGAAGGTGAAGAGGAGCGAGCATTATAAACCCACCCTGAACCAGGAACTGCATGAGCACGTGGGTAACCCCATCCCTCCACCTGTCCCTCTCTCCCTTCTCCTATTATGAGCAGAGTCCTGATCCGGTCCCCCTACCCACCCCCTTCTAGACTTTTGACCACATTCTGGCTGCAGTGGAGGACGTTGTGGGGCACCATGGCTATCACTACTGGAGGGACAGGTGAGGGAGCTGCCCCGAGGCTCCTTCAGCAGCAGCAGCCCCACCAGCTAGGGCAGCATGGGGGATGTGCCACACTTCTGAGAAGGGAGACAGCCAGGCTCAGGCTGGGTGACCTCTTCCTGAAGCCCTTCAGGCAGTACTGGCAGTACTGACGTCCCAGTCCCAGTCCTCTCAGGCTAAGACATGGCTCCCAAGGGAGGCCTGCCCAGCCCTGGCCTGCGTGGTCTAGCATCTGCTGGACTCCAGCTGCACTTTGCTCAGCTGTGTCTCTGATTATCTGCCTGCTAATGACATGAACCCTGTTCTGAAAACTCAGGACCCACCAGGACCCCGCTGCCCTAGCAACCAGGACCTTTACACATGTTCTTTCTACTTGAACGTTTTCTCGCCTCCATCTCACCTACTTAACCTCTGTTCATCCTTCAGATCTTACCACAGGCATCAAGTCTTTCGGGAGGCCTCCCTGACTAGGATAAATCCCTATCATACTCTATAATTATCCACTGCAGTTCTTGTTATGGTTATAATTTTACAGTTATATGTAGTAACTTCACTAATGTCAGGGTTTCCCACAACACTGGGAATTCCTTAAGGGCAGAGACTAGCTTTGAAATTCTCCTTGACTCATGTCCATGCCAAGAGACCTAGGCTGGCACTGGCAGTGCCTCTGCCACATCTGAAGAAGGGCTAGCTGGCCAGGCCTTGGGGATGGTACTCAGGACCGGGCCTGGCATCCTCTGTAGGTGGGAGCAGTTTGACAAGAAGTACCTGAGTCAGCTGTTGATGCGGCGGTCAGCCTACCGCATCCGGGACCAGATCTGGGATGTGTACTACAGACTCAACATCCGGGATGCCATCAGCTTCGTGGACCAGGTGGGCCGGCAGCCAGTGGTGGGTGGGCAGGTGACTGTCAGGGCAGGAAGGGGCAACAAGCAGGCAGGTCCGAGTGGGGAGCTGGGAATTCCCAGCAGATGCCATGGTCTTGTGAAGTGCCAGCGGCAAGAACCAGCCTGGTCTGATGCTGATGTTCAGAGTCTGGCAGGCAGTCCAGAAAGGTGGGAAACAGCTGGACTTTGGAGTCAGCTAATGTGGTTCAATTCTTATCACTCACAGGCTTGTGGCCTTGGGTAAGTCACTTATCTTCTCTGAGCCTCAGTTTCTTCACTGTAAGAAAGCAGGAATAAGGGTACCTATGTCACAGTTTATAGATTCAGTATATCAAGTGCCTAGCACAGTACCTGGGACATCAAAAGAGCAAAGTGTGTTAACCATTGTTATTCTTTTTATTACCCTCTGACTGTCTGGGCCACCCTCCACCTGACTGCATCTGACCTTTGTCTTGGCCCCTGCAGGGAGGCCACGTCTTGTCCTCCACCCGGCTCACTCTGCCCTCTATGCCCAGCCGCAATTCTGTGGCAGAGACCTCTGTCACCAACCTGCTGTAAGTCCTTGAGCCCTCTTCCCCTTTCTCAAGCTCTTCTCTATTGAGCCTTCTCTCTGAATCCCTTCTGGGGAAAATTTGTGAGTACCTTTGCTTCTGCCCTTCCCCTGGCCTGGGCCTCCTGACCCCTCCCCAGCATGTGTTCCCTGCTTCCTGCAGGAGGGAAAGCGGCAGCGGAGCGTGTCTAGATCTGCAGGTGATTGACACAGTACGTAGTGGCCGCGACCGTGAGGATGCTGTGATGCACCATCTGCTCTGTGGAGGCCTCTACAAACCTCGCCGCAGGGTGAGAGCAGGCAGGACATAAGAGTTCTGAGGGGGAGCGTGGTCTGGGAAGGCCATGACTGAAGGCTCAAGAGGCAGCTGGCACCAGCTTGTGGAGAGCTATGGATGCCCAACTGAAGAGTGTGGGCTTCATCTTGTTTGTAATAACCTTTAGCTTTTTTGGAGAAAGGTTTAGCTGTTTGAGGATGTCTTCTCTGGTAGCAGAGTGCAGATCAAATTGGAGAGGGTGAGTTGAGAGGCTGGGAGCGGCACTTGGGAACCTGGAGTGAAACACTGTGGATTAGAGCTGGGTGGTTGGAAGGGAGAGGAGCACAAACGACTGCATGATTGGCCGGGAAGGAGAGAGTAGGAGATAGAGTACACAGGGCTCGATGGGGTCACAGAGAGAAGCAGGAGTGCTGAGGAAGCCTCTGGGACCAGCCTGACTTGGGGGAGGCAGACATCTGCTGTAGGTAACATGAGTTAGTCCAATGGAGGTCATGAAGCTGTGGGGTTGGAAAGGCTTAGCCTATGCAGGAGGGAATCTGTTGCAACCCCACGAGGGGGCAGCATGCCATTACCTTGAACCTTTCTGAAATGAGAAGCCAGCTGTTCCTATTCCTGGCCGCCTTAACAGTCAAGGCTGTTTCTACTGCTGAGACAGAATTGGTCTTTTTAATTTGCTCCCACTGGTCCTGATCTGACCCTCTGCAGCTCTGCAGAGTAAGTCTTCAAAGGTGTCAAAACAGCTCTCTTCCACACAGGCTTTCTTGCCCTCAGGCCAGAAGCTCCTGTCCCTGGTATGTCTTCTTTGGTCATTAGAAATAAGGCCCAGAATGGAAGCTGCTGCTCCGGCTGTGGTTGGCCAGGGCAGGGCACAGGGGCTGTCTCACCTTCCTAGTTCTGGAACTTGCCATGCTCTTCCACAGCCCAGAGTCCCTCCAGGTCTAGCTCACCACCTTGAAGCCCCACATTGTCCTTACAATCAGGCAAACCCTGTGTCTTCCTCAGTTAATGACTGTGAAACCATGTCTCATCCAGCCTGTTGGGGTTTTTGTTGTTTTTTGGTTTTGTTTACTTTTTCTCTTATGGAAAATTTCAGTCATTCACAAAACTAGAGAGAATAAAATAACTCTCATTTAACCATCACTCAGCTCCAAAAAATACCAATGCATGGTCAAATGTGTTACATTCTGTTCCCCCACCACACCCCATCTACATTCTATTATCCTAAAGCAAACTCCAGATACCGTATATTCTCTAGATATTTCTGTATGTATCTCTTAAGTTTCAAGAATTCTTAAAACAAACCAAAACCATAGTACCATTATCACTTACAACAAATAACACTAATTCTCTCACTTCAAATGTCCAGCCAGTGTTCAATAATTATCTTTTTCCAGCTGGTTTGTTCAAATCAGGATCCAAATAAAGTCCACACTTTGCATTTAGTAAATATGTCTCTTTATTTTAAAAAAAATCTACAGTAGTTTCTTCTTCCTTTTTTTCCCCTCTTCTTATTTGTTGAAGAAACTGGATACTTTGTCTCAAAGGATTTCCCATTTTATAGATTTTGCTGATTGTATTCTGGGGTAGTGGTTAACATGTCCCTCTATACCCTGTATTTCCTGGTAGTTAAATCTAGAGACCTGGTTGGATTCAGGAACATTACATTCGATAGGTGTACCATGTATTCTTATTGTATCACATCAGGAAGTACAGAATGATTGGATGTCTGTGGATATGTGTGTATAACATTGGTCAATGGGTTCAGCCCGACCAGTTCTTGTATAGTCAATTAAAAAAAAAAACAACTGGAATAAGATTGTGCCTATCCCTGTTAAATGTCATCTTATTTGATTTAGCCCATCATTCCATCGTTTAGATCCCATGTCTGCCACCAAATATCTCCTCAGATTCACATCATGTAAAACTCTGCTAAGCCTGTTAACTTTGTATTCATCCAAATCAACACAGAACTGTTGAACAGGATAGAGCTGAGGACAGAGACCTGTGGCATGCTACTAAAGACTTTCCTCCAGACTGACATGGATCAAGCATTTTTGGGGTATGGTTGCTCAACCAGTTCTGAATCCACTTAGTTATGCCAGAACACAATCCATAATTCCTCATGTTCTCCACAGAAATATCATTAGAGAGAGACAGAAGTGTCTAGTATGTAGTTAGAAACCTAAGATTATAGTTTAAGAGACAGATAAGGGCTGGAGATAAAGATTTGGAAGCAATCTATATTAGAGGTTTCCTCACCTTTGGAATCACCTGGAATTTTCTGGGGAGCTTGCTAGAATACATATTCCTGGCTTGGCCTCCTGGAGATTCTGTACTGTGGAATGGGGCTAGGAATCTGCTCTCATTGAGTCCCCCCAGGGAATTCAAATGCAGCTAGTCTGATGGCTGGTGTTTGGGAACCAGAGATATATCACGGGGCTAGCTGACACTGAGAGAGTGGATACATTAACTGGGGAGAGCATTTGGGGCGGGGGAAGGCAATAACAATACTGAGGAATGCACATGGAAGTAAAGGAAGGGGAGCCAGCGAAGGACAGAGAAGAGCCCTCGGAGGGGCAGAAGCAGATGGTGTCTTGGAGGCCTGGTGTGGAAGGAGGGTTGGATGCTGCACAGAGGTCAGGCCAGCGCCTAACCAGAGACTCTGGTACTGATGACCAGGGAGAAGGCAGCTCCGAAGAGTTGCGGACCCTGGAGTTGTATTTCTGATACTTAAGGAAGTAATAAGTATTAGGGAAAGCATCAGAACGTAAGTGTAAAAGTTTGGCAGCAAAAGGGTGGCAATGGTGTCAACGGAAAGGCCTTCTTCAAGGAGGTAAGGACAGGAGCATGCTTAAAAGCAGAGGGAAGGGCCCAGTGGTGAGGGAGGGATTGAAGGTAGAGGAGAGTGGAGGAACAGGAGGGAGGAAGGCGCAGGGAATTGATGGAGGCAGGAAGGAGTGAGCTGAGCAAAGAGGAGACGGGTTAGGGAGTGAGGGGCCTTGTGAAGGAGCTGGGCCCCTGCACCAGGAGAGAGCGGCACCTCTGGTGAGTGTATAGAGAGCAGATGGGAAGAGACTTGAAGGGAGTGCTTAGATCTGGTTCAGGGAAGCAGAAAATATGAGGTAAAGGAAAGGGACCAGATTGGGGATGTGAGGCAGAACAAGATGATTTGGAACATGCAGGCAGTACTTTGGGGGATTACCATTAGGTAATGAAAAGGTTGCTAAGCAGCCAAGGGCAGAGGTGGAGACAGTCTAGGTGAGTGTGTAGTGGGCTTGATCTTTATGAGAAAGAGTTGGAAGGAGCAGGTGATGGGATGGTCCTGAATTGGGCACAGGTAGTTGTTGGACCAAGAGGGCCCAGGGTGTCAGGAGAGATAGTCATGGAAGTTTAAAGTGCAGCCCGAGGAGTCAGGGTGGTGGTTGCTGAAATGGCTAGCTTGAGAGTTCCACCTGGACAGAGTCCTGTGTAGCTAAAAGGAGGCAAATGGGCCAGGCTCAGATAAACAGAGGTGCAAAGAAGGAAATGCCCTCCTTGGTCTCATAATAGCCCCAAGGGACAAGACACAGGGGACCCTGTGTCAGAGAGAACTGGGAGTGGGCAGTAGGGGATAAGGAAAGTCAAATTTGGGGACTAAGTTCTGACATAAAGGAAAGTTTCTCCCCAGTGAACTGAGAATGGAGTATTGCTGGGTCCCTATTGTACTATTTGTTTTGTGTAATCCATGGCTAGTTCTGGAAAGGCCTATGGTGGACATGGGACTGTGGTCTGGGGTTCCTGTGGGAGGCCACGGCACCCAGCCTCATGGCAGGGCGGGGCTGTCATTGGCAGTACAAAGCCAGCTGCAGCCGCCACTTCATCTCGGAGGATGCGCAGGAGCGCCAGGACAAGGAGGTTTTCCAGCAGAACATGAAGCGGCGGCTGGAGTCCTTTAAGTCCACCAAGCACAACATCTGCTTCACCAAGAGCAAGCCACGACCCCGCAAGGCCAGCCGCAAAAAGGCATGTGCTTTCTCTGGGACTCCCGTTTGTGGCTGTAGGCTGACGACACACAGTTTTGAGCTCCCAAGTGTTGGAATCCAGCCTGCGGGTTCCCCTAATGGATAATTCTCAGGGACTTGGGGGCTGCAGCAGTTTGGGTTCCCTTTTGCATCTTCCTGGAGCCCCAGAAGGGGAAGGTAAGGCCTTCAGAGGGAGATCAGGCTCCTGGCCATGCAATCACCTGCTGGGAGGCAGCAAGACCACCTACCAGGGGTGAACTGAGCAAGAGAAAGGCAGATCCCTTGTTGGGGGGACTCCCATGAGCTCCTTATTCAGCCCAGGCTGATGTACTGAGAGACTTTGTTGGAACACATCGGACTTGCCTGAGGGATCAAGGGATGGTAGAACCACTGGGATCGACACAGATTCCCTTCCCTGCTGTGTCAGGAAGATCTGTCTTCCTGTTGACCCTACCAGATGAGAGGGTTGGGGTTTGGAGCCTGGACCAGAGGCTTAGAGTTTTTTTCTTGGTCCTCAGAAGGATGGTGTGGCTAACACTGAGGCTACAAATGGGAAACCTCCTCGAGACCTGGGCTTCCAGGACACAGGCAAGCAGGGAGTGGGGGTAGGGCAGAGAATGGAACGGGGAGGAAAAGGCCAGAGGCCCATCACCAGAAGACTGAAGGACCTCCTCTGTGTGGCATTCAGTGCCATGAGCTGGGGCTCTTCCCCTCAGGGATGAGATGGGTACACTTGACTTCAAAGCTGGACATGTTCTCAACAGTTATAAGACATTTGTGACTGGAGGCATCTGATAGCTAAGTACAGGTTACAGGCCCTGAGAACTTGGAGAAGGTGCCATAAAGGGGCAGCCTGGTCTGGGCCTTAAGGGATGGGTGGATGCTAGGGCCCAGCGTCCCTGTCTTTAAAACCAGGAATTTGGACAAGCTGCACACTGATGGGCCTTCCAGCTGGTGATGGGATCTGGGGCTGAGAAGGGAGCTGGAAAGTGATTTATTTCCCTTATGGCTTCCTCTGAGAACCTGGCTTTCCTTGTTGCCTCCTTTGGCTCTGCAGCCCCACATCCCTTTCTCCTCAAGCTCCCAACCCCATAGGCCAGTGCTGAGATAGCTTTAGGACAAAGCAGGTGCTTTGGACAACTATGGGCTCTGCCTGGGTGGACAGGGTCTGGCCTGGGGTTGTGCAGTACCAAGAGGCAGCTACTGGGCTGGCCGCCCCCTCTTAGCTCTCATCCCTGTCCAGCTGCTGTGATCTTAACCGTGGAGTCTGAGGAGGAGGAGGAGAGTGACAGTTCGGAGACAGAGAAGGAGGACGACGAGGGAATCATCTTTGTGGCTCGGGCCACCAGCGAGGTTCTCCAAGAGGGCAAGGTCTCAGGTAATGGCTTCCTCCTGCCCACCTCCTTCTGGAGCAAGCTGGAGCTGTGCAGTTAGCTTCCTCCCTCTTCACTAATGGCCTCTACTCCAGACAGTCCCTTTTCCTGTTTGCTTATGTATTCAAGCAGTATTTCCTGAGCATCTCCTTTATGTCAGACACCTGACATACATAATCTGATCAACCCTCATGACAACCAAGATGGGGAAACTGAGCTTGAAAAGGGACTTGGGGCCTGTCCAGCATCACATAGCAGAAACAGAATTTGAACCTTACCTATGTGATTCCAGAGCCTTTTCACTGCCGTGCCACCTCCCTTTACACTCTGGTGAAAAACTCGAGGTGACAAGCAAACCTAACATCTATCTCTGTTGTGACCCATGCTCAGCACTCCAGCCTTCAAGTAGGAGCCCCTGGTGAGGGTGGCAGCCTGACCTGGGGAAGGAGTCTAAATTCATTAAAATGGCATTACTGTGGATAAAAAACATGTATGTTTCCATATGTAGAGACATAACCCACTCATAATGCTGACTATCACTGCTAGTTGGCTTAATCACCCTGAAGTGTCTTAAAAAATATTTCATTATACAAAATTTAAAAATATACAAGAGACAGAATAGTAAAATACACTGCCATCTATCCACTACCCAGCTTCAATAATTACCTACTCCTAATCAATCTTACTTCATCTATACCCTCACTATGCCCCTCTCTTCATTGTGTTCCTTTGAAGCAAATCTCAAATATCATATCACTTTATCAAGAAATACTTAAGCATGTATCTTTAAAAGCTAAGAAATCGTCTTAAAAAAATATAACCATAGTACCATTATCATTTCTAAAAATCTTTGTTATCAGATATCTGGTCAGTGTTCAAATTTCCCTGATTGCCTTAATATTTTATTTATAGTAGTTTTGTTCAAATAAAAATCCAGACATGGCCCACACAGGGCATTCTGTTGATAAAAGTGTCTTTTAACCTATAGCAGTGATTCTCAAGGGGGTGGTGGTAGAGTGATTCCGGTCCCCCAGGAGACACTGGCAATGTCTGGAGACATTTTGTTTTCTCAACTAGAGAGGTACATTTGCAGTGAATGGGTAGAGGCCAGGGATGCTGCTGAACATCCTACAATGCACAGGGCAGCCCCCCACAACAAAGTATCTGTTCCAACCTGTCAATAGTGTCATTTGAAAAACCCTGATTTACAGGCCCCCCATCTACTTTTTCTTCCTTGCACTGTATTTACTGAAATAACCTGGTTATTTGTCCCAGTCTTTCCTTGTCTGCATTTTGCTGATTGCATCCCCAAAGTATCATTTAACGTGTTTCACTGTCCCTTATATTTCCCTTAAGCCAGTTATTAAATCTAGATCAGGTTTCAGTTTAAATTTTTTGGTAGGCACACCTGATAGGTGGTAATGTTTTACTTCCTATTGTACCACATCAGGAAGCACACACCATCTGGTTGTCTTTTTGTGAGGCTGACATTGACTGTTGCCTTCAGCTGTTGTTAGCCTGATCCATCTGTTATCAAGTTGCCTGTCAGCTTTTCATCAGATGGTGTTAGCAGTCATTGATGATCACAGCCAGATCCAACATTTCATTAGGGGTTGCAAAATGGTGATTTTATACATCTATTTTTTTATGTGAATTTATTAGCAGGAATGCTATAAAAAAAACTCATCAATTGCTTAATTACTTTGAGGTACACTTTATACAGGAAAGAATGGATAAATGCTTGAATTTTTCCTTTTATTTATCAGTTTTCAGGTCAGTAAGTTAGTTCCTTAGCATCCTCTAAAGGTGAACACTGAAGTTTTTGTTGTTGTTGTTTTAGTTTTTTGTTGCTGTTGTTCTTGTTAATATTTAAAACAGTATTCCAGGTCTTTCAAGAGGTGGTTTCACTCTCAATCACAGCATCAATAGGTTTCATAATGTACTCAGTCAAGTTTATTGGATTGCTTGGGACTTTATCAACGAGCAGAGACATACTAAACACCTATTATATGCAAGGCATGGAGCTTGACTTTGGAGAGCAAGTGGCTGTAGGTGGGCAGAGGGCTGCTCTTTTCCAGGTTTCCTCTTTCAGAACCTCAGACTTCCTGTAATGCAGCGGTCGAGCCTTCCATCCTGGCTGCCAGCAGTCCTAGGATTCTTGGCTCACAGTCCCTGTGCATTGGCATCCCCTTCACAGCACAGCTTTGGCCTCTTAGGTTCATGTGAGCTCACTCTCCTGAGCTCTGTCTCACCAAAGGGAGCTCAGGCAAGAAGCCCAGTGGCCAAAACTCGAAATCTTCACCCTGCTGCTGTCTCACCCTGGGATGGGGCTTGGCAGGATGTGGTTTAAGACTGGCACTGCAAGTTGGGTGAGGGCTGATTGTGGATGGGTTTTTTGCTGCCTTGCTCCTGCTTTCTCTTGCTTTATTTTCATTTGTTCAATGGGTATTTGTTGAGCAACTGCTGTGCTAGGTGCTAGGGACACAACAGGGAGCAAAACCAGCTGTGGTGCTTCCCCTTGGCAAGCATGCATCAAATGATTGCACAAATGGATGCAATATGGCAACTGTGAAATGAACTTATTTATGAAAGCATGCTTATACTTAAGAAGGATTCCATTGAGTTGATATGAGTGCATGTGTACTCTGTCTCCAGGGAGCCTTGAGGTGTGCCCAAGCCCACGCATCATCCCCCCCTCCCCAACCTGTGCAGAGAAGGAGCTACCCTGGAAGAGTGGGCAGGGGGACCTGGCAGTCTACGTGTCCTCAGAAACCACCAAGATTGTACCCGTGGACATGCAGACAGGCTGGAACCAGAGCATCTCATCCCTGGAGAGCCTGGCATCCCCGCCCTGTACCCAGGCCCCCACTATGACCCGCCTGCCTCCCTGCCCACTGGCTGCTGAAGAGCCCCAAGCCCCTCTCAACCTGCTTTCTGATCCACGCCTTAGCTTTGCCTTTCCCCCGAGCCTGGCCAAGGCTGGCCGCTCTCGCAGTGAAAGCAGCGCTGACATCCCCCAGCGACAGGAGCTGCAGCCCCTCATGGGACATGGGGACCACACTCACCTTAGCCCAGGCACGGCCAATTCGCATTGGTGCATCCAGCTCAATAGAGGCGGCCGGCTGTAGCCCAGGGACCCAGGGAGGAGCCCCCATAGGAAGTGTTCCCTGCATAATGGGCAGAGGAGCCCACTCAGCCTGACATGGGGGGCCTGGACTGAAGTAGCAACTGGGCTCCCTTGGGGCTGGTCCTCACAGGGACCCTTTTCACCGCTCTCTCTGCTCCCAACTCCTGCCACCTTCCCTTTCAGTAATGCCCTTACCCTGGCAAAAGACCCAGTCCAGAGCTTCTAGGGCCTAGCCCCTGAGATGTGGGTAGCTGATGCCTCTTCCCCAGTGGGTCCTCTTTGGGTCACTCTAGGCAGTTGTTCCTACCCCTAAAGCAAGGGCATCATTCCTCAGCTGACGCTGGCCTTTCCTGCCCTCCACCCATTCCCCAGCACCAGCTCAAGGACAGTGTCCTGGCGGTAAGGCTCCAAGGCACTGGACCAGTGAGGGGCTGGTTCTCAGAGGGATTGGGGTGGGAGGTGCAGGAGGCCTGAACCTTGGGCTATGCTGCCCTGTTGGGTCAGCTACCCATAGCCAATTTGTTTAGGGCACTGGGAATCTGTCTCTACTTCTTGCTTTATCTCCTTCCCTTTGCTGCCAGTAATTGAGGCAACTGTTCCTCTTTTCCAGGACTAAGGCCACAGGGCTGGGCCAAGCTTCAGATCAGGGCTGCTTCTCAGCTGGGGTCACTCTGGGATCTGCTGCTCTGTGTCCAAGTCTGGACCTTTCAGATCCTTGGGTCTGAGTTTTCTCAGGAGGGTAGATGGTAGCCTCTGGGCTCCCATATTATCATCTTGTTATTTCCCAAACAGGAAAGGAGCCAGGTATTCCAGGGCCACTGCTTCATTGCTCTGGGGGCTGACTGGGAGGCAAGTGACTTTCCTGAGGTTAGCACCTGTCTTGTATTTTTGTACCTTGAACGTAAGATACATTAAACATTTCTCCAATGGATGTGTGTCCTGTGTCCATGTGTCTGGGGGTTCTAGGGGTAGAAGTAGGGGGCAACAGGGGCATCTGGTGAAGGAGATGGAAACTTCTAACTGTCTGCCCCAGGGATTCTGGGATAGACAATGGAGCAGGGGCAGGGGTCCTGGGAAGGGCTATGAGGCCGTGTGGCCCTCCCTCCCTCCTCTCCCATACCTTCCCAATATGTCACCTTACAGGAGGCCTGCAGTGGCAGTCCAGGGGATCGTTGTATTGTACAGGGTCACAGAGCTGGGGATCCACAAGACGGGGAAGGCCTACAGGGAAAGACACCTCAGAGGTCAGGTGCCAAGGTGTCCAAAGATGCAACCACCACACACTGGGACAGGATAAGCCTTCATTAAACACCTGGAGACAGGTGTAGGACATATGAACAGAGTGTCTGCACATGGAAGATAGGAGGACAATCTCAAGGGTGCTGGTTACCTTGAGTGTTTCCGATACAAATTGGGTGGCGTGGGGTCCAGAAACCCCAATAAATCCCCAATAACAGCTGACTCAGATTCAATTCCTATTGTGCTGGAGGATTTTTAAAAACATACCTATCCACTGAAGCATAACATACGTACCATAAAATTTATCCACTTAAAATACACAGTTCAGTGGTTTTTAATATGTTCACTGAGTTGTGCAACCCTCACCACAATCTAAGTTTAGAACACTTTCATCATCCCCCAAAGAAATCCTGTACCCATCAGCAGTCATGCCTCACCCCCTGCCTGTCCCAAGGTAATTACCAGCCAGTTTTCTGTCCTTATAGATCTGAAGGACTCAACACACTGCAAAGGTTACAAATTTAGTCAACAAACACTTCTTCTATGTTATGCATCAGGAAGATGTGAAGAAAGAGTGACTTAGGCTTTTCCCTTACGTTGCTTATAGTTGGCAGTGAAAAGACCTAGAAGTCCCACCTGTCACTCACTGGCTATGTTATCTTAGGTATGTTACATACTCTCTTTGAGCCCCAGGGTCTTTATCTCTAAAATGAGATAATAATCATACTTATTTCTTAAGGCTGCGGTCAGAATTATATGATAAAATGAGAAGTACCTAGTATAGAGCCTGGCCCATGGTAAGGGATCATACACTTTTATCATCACTGGTCTTATATTACAAGGCAAAGAGGATGGAAAGTATTGTGGGGCTTTGAGGAGATCTGGAAGGGCTTTGGGAGGAGTGTGTGTGTGTGTAAGAGCTCTGACAACACAGCTGAAGTTGTGTGGGTGCATTCCAGGTAGAAAGAGCAGCACGAATAAAGGACACCTGGAGCACACATGATGAAAAGCAAGGAGCAGTGGGCGATGTGCTGGGGAGAGACCACCCAGGGACACAAAGGCTTGGGTGGGTCATCCTGATGAGTTTTGGGGGTGGCAGAGAGCTGGCTTGGGAGAACTGTGACCCAGAGAGTGTGGGCAGTGATGTGTGTTAGGGAGCTCACATGTAGCTGGTGCCAGGTGGAGGATGGGTGAAAACCCCCACGGAGGAAGGATTGGTAGGAAGAAAGCCTAGAGATCAAAGACCTGTTGGGAGGCTCCTCCAGCAGCCCAGAGATGAACTTTAGTACAGAGCCCAGGTAGAGGCTGGTGCTAGAGAGGCAGGTAGCCATTCTTAGAACTCAGTGTCAAAATCACCGGGGAGCTTGTCAAACATACAGATTCCTGGGCCTACGCCTAAGGTTCTGACTCACCAGGTCTATGGGGGCCCAGAAATCTGTAATCTTAACCAACTCTCTGAAGGGAGGTGACCCAAAGACCACATCCTTCAAAAACTACTAGATTAGACAGGGTTAGAAATAAAATCCACACAATCAGGCAACTGATGGTGTAGGGGAGGGTGCAGAGGGGCTCCTGGGCCTGGAGCTGGGTACCTAAGAACAGGGGGACTGCCAGGCAGGTAGGCTTGGTCAGAGATGAGCAGACTGGGGGAAGAAAGCAGGTGAACATAGCTGGGAGGGGAGGCAGGCATCTGGGATGCAGGAAAATAAGCAAGTTACTTTCTAACCAGGCAAGATGGAAGTAATGGCCTCCAGTGCCGCCTGGCTGCATCTTGGCCCTGAAGCAGGAAGGATTTTGACCTGGAGAGATGAGCATGGGCATTCCACGTACAGGAGACAGTCTGAGACAAGATGAGGTTTCCAGGACCAACTGGGAGCTGGACAGGATGGTTGTGATGCCTCTGGATGGCATTGAATGCCACACTAAGGAATTTGCAGTTTATTTAGGACAGAGGTGAGAGGGGCCTGGAAAGTTTGAGGTACCTATCACCCTCACTGTCTTGGGCAGTACTGAAGAGGGCATGCCAGGTTTGGGGTGGAGTGAGGGCAATGACTGTGGATCTCTTATCACTAGGCCTGTTAAGGCACAGAGCTCCCATTTCATTTTTGATTGATTGATGTAAATGGGAGGCTGAGGAAAGGTTGGGGAAGGAGCAGAAGAGTGAGGCCCATCCCTATTTCATGATCTCAGTGGAAAAGGCTGCTGTGAGTAGATTTTGCTGCCAAGAGAACCACAGAGACAGGCCCATGAGTCACTGTTCAGTCTTGCAAGCTCAGCCCACAGAGCCTGCTGCGGTCAGCGGCCCAGGCTGGCTCTAGGCCCAGCCCTTAGCGCTCGCCACTAGGCCTCAGTCTGCCCCCATTTTTATCTGTATCTTTGCCATTCTGGGGCTGTACTTCCCGCAGCTCTCTGCCTCTCCTGTGTCCCTTTAGGACTGAGCCTCTGAATCTGTCTCCATTTGTGACTAGTTTACATCTGGCTCATGAATGGGGAGCCTCAGTGGGGCAGGGGTAATGCAACCAGTCTTCGGCACCCCCAACATTTATTCCAGGACTTGTGCTAGGTGGTATAAAGCACAGAAGTGAACAACAGCTTCATGTTTTCATGAAGCTTATAATGCACATTCTACATGGAGTGAATAAACCAAGGCCTGGCCCTGCCACTGCCCCTCAATCTGTCTGTCTGCCCGTGCCCAAGGGTGTTGGGGTCAGCAGTGGCCTGTGGCGTAAGCCTCTTATTTGCCTCAAGCCTCTTATTTGCCTCTGGCACTGGAGGGATGTATGTGCCTGCCAGCAGATCCAACCAACTCTTAGGACTCACAGAGGGAGGGGGCTGGTGGGGGGGGTGGGCAGACAGAGAGCAGCAGAAGGGGAGGGAGGGAACGGGAGGCAATGACTCAGTGGGGCGGCTCTGGGACAGCTGGGGAGGGAGCCAAGGTTGGCCCTGATGCTCAGTAAAGCTAGAGGAGGGTGGGATGAGAGGGCTTGCTGGGGCTTGTAGATGGAGCAGGACCATTCCAAGGCTCCTCTCTCACAGCAAGATCAGCTCATGAAGAAGGCTCCTGGGTAGCTACTCTGAGAATCCGGACTTGGTGCTGATGTAGCAGCTGGGATGGTGGGGAGGAGGCAACCGCTGTTGCTTCTGATGCCCAGGTTCCCTCCTCTGGCAGCCTCCCTTGGCTCATGAAGTAAGTGCCTGTCTTAGAACCAGGGAAGCTACTACACACACTGCCTCCTCCCCACAAGGAACCAAGGGCCTGAGGGGCACAGTGTCTTTCCTGGCCACACAGCCTACCTTCTTACAACCTTCCCACAAACTGGGGAGTGTGAGTCAGGTCCACATGCCCCAATGGGACTTCACATCTCGGAGTTGGGAGGGATCTCACAGGTCAACTGTCCAAGCAAAATGACGGGTAGAGCACGAACACAGCCCAAGTGCTGGCAGCAAGTGGACCTTTGACATATAAGATCTTCCTTTGTCCTCATGCTGGCAATCCCAGGAGAAAGGAATGGCTTTCTTTTTTTACAGGTGAGTAAGAGGAGGATCAAAGAGGACTGAGTTGCTGGAGCTCACCCAGCAGGTAAGTAGAAGAGCAAGCCTGGCTCTCTGGCTCAGGAACCCTGACCTCAGTCTCAGCCCCTTTGGCTGGACTTTGTGAGGAGGGGATGTATGTGAGAGAAAGGCCAGGAATGCAAGGGAGTGGAGGGTCTGGGTTTGGTGGATTGGTAGATTCTGCTAGGTCGGGTCACCTCCCACCCCAGGGGCCTCCCTGCCCCCCTCCTTTCCTCTATCCCAAACAGCAATCCCCACATCCCATCATGGGATCATACAACCTATTTCTTGGTTTCTGGGACTGAGGACCGAAAGGAAGATGGGAGCTGCAGTGGAAGGGCCCCGCTCTCCTAACTCTCCATGAAGATACCCCTTCTGGCCCCTAGTAGTCCCAAGCAGCTGGTCTGGGCTTAGGGAGTCTTTCTAGGAGGCCCTGGGACCCTGGGCCAACACTTTTCTTCTCCCGACTGAGAGGAATGAGTGCTCTTTGTTTTGCTGAGGGAGGCTAGGACAGGGATAACCTACCCTGTGAGTATTCAAGAACAGAAGCCCCTCCATGCTCCCCCGCAAGCCCTTCCTCCACCCCAAGGCGGGCCCCCACGCTCACTCACCCTTGCGCGCTTACGCCGCCTTCCCCAGCCGAGAAGCGCTTCCGGCGTGCTTGGCACGCCTGGAGAGCGGGCGAGGTGGCAAGGTGGTCGCTTCCCCTGCCGGCGGACCGAGAAGCCGAGTCAGTCAGCTGGGCCTGAGGGCAGGGGTGAAGCCAAGCCGTCCAGGCCCAAGGGGGGATGAGGGGGCGGCGGATAGGAGTGCTGCGAGGGCCCGCGCCTCTGCGCTTCCCCCCCCCCCACCCGGGCGGCTGCCGTCCAGCCTGGCAGGGTGGGCTGTGGC